CGGCTGCGGGGCGGCCGGGCCTTGGCGACCTTTGGGGGAATTTTGCTCCTTCTTCCCCAAAATGAGGGGCGGGGCGGAGGGGCGCCAGGCGCAGGTGACTTCCCCGAAGTCGTGTGTGGTTAACGGAGCGGCTCTCCTGCAGTAGCGTGGCATGGCTCTTCCCAGTCAACGCGTTCAACGTTTAAGTTTGTTGCTCTTCAGGCAAGCAAGAAATAGCTGAATCGCTGTCTAGGGAAATCTGGCTGTCTTAGATACATGAGCGATGAGATTTTCCTCATCTTCCTGATGTTGCCATGGTAGTAAAAATTCATGTTTTTAACATTTACAAGTTATTCAAAATACCAGTATTATGAGCAGAACATATCACTAAGGAGTCTTGTGTTAAAGCACCCGGAGGTATAGTTGGTGTGCGTTCTTCATCACGTATAATTCCCTGTGCCCACGTTCCCTTTGGAATTCTTGTTACGTTGCCTATTTCAGGAAAAGTTGCTGCGTTTAGGAAAACAACCATGCAAGTGCCTTACATCGTTGTGGTTTTATGGTTCATGCTGTTCTTCCCGCTATGTAAAATCAACACAAGTGAGAGATAGCACCATCCTAGTCTACACTACCTTGAGAGAACCGCGATTATCATTCATAACACAAAGTGAATAATGAGGATGATAGTAAGAAAGGTATTATTAGGCATAGTTCATGATGTAGAAACATGCAGAAGTATAAATTAGTGATATTTCCATAATCTCTCCCACTGTTGGATTTTGCCTCAATAATGAGTGTTAGTGATTCATAAATTAGCTATTTATTATGTTACTCTTTAACATTTTATGCTATCCAGTAACTGGACATTTGATTTTTGATTCTACCCTTGTGTTCTTGGGATGGTTGTATCTGCGTTCCTTTCTCCAACTTGCGTGATACTATAGTTTAAATCACTTAATCTGTACTTCTGTTTTTCTTCCATATAGGTAATGTGGCACTGGACAATTTACAGATAAAGGAGAATGCATTAGTAAGTATTTTACAATTTTTAAATTTTTTTTTTTTTGGATCCAAGGACTAAGTCATAAGGTAAAATACTATTTACTGTAGGTCCTTGCTACACAGTGTGCCTTGCTTACAAGAACTAGTAAAAAAGTCCTTAGTTAACTTCCTCTGATTTTATTCAGGACATTGGAATAGAGGAAGAAAAAAAAGCTGTGGGTTAAATCGTAAATGTGCTTCTGTCTTAAATATGTGACTTAAAAATTAGCCATAGATTTTGAAGTAAATTTTCAGTTGTTACTGATGTGCGCACGCGTACGTAGCCTGTCCTAGTATTTGAGGCTTGAAATAATAAAACTTTAAGTAAGATATTTTGATATCTCTCTGTTACCATGCCAGTCTTTCTGTAACACGTAGAGGGTTTAATTTCTGCTGTGACTGCTACTGTATTATCATATTTCCATTACCACTTGCAGGTCCATGCAGAAGACGCTTGTGTGTCTTTGAACACCTTATTAGGTCATATGGTTGTGCATAAGCCTACATGTTCTTTGCAACTTTGTTTGAATAAGTGGGTTT